AGGGAAACAATAAACTGTGCAGAAATCTTTCTTGATCTTCTCTTATCTTTTGTCTCTCCTCTTCGTGTTCCCCCCCTGCCCCAGCAATGCAAGAGGAGGCTTTAAAGCTGGTTCTACTGGCGCTGGAAGATGGATCTGCTTTGTCACGAAAGGTCTTGGTTCTCTTTGTGGTTCAGAGGCTGGAGCCGCGATTTCCTCAGGCTTCAAAAACCAGCATTGGGCATGTTGTCCAGCTTCTTTACAGAGCTTCGTGCTTCAAGGTATGAAGAAGGTTCTGTTTGGAGATGTTATAATACTATGAAAACTACTGGGGTTTGCTTTCAGTTTTTATTGTCCTGTGACGTTAAATGTGCCTAAAAATATGTGTAGTTATAGGAAGTATTACTAAGTCCCGTGTGTGTTTGCTGAGTTCTTTGTTGTACAGCCGTGATGGCAGTGTAGGCTGAAATTAGAACTGTAAGCTGTGAAGCTAAGTTTTGAGACTGTCTAGGTTTAATAGGTGCCCAGTAACAACACCTGTATGTAAGTCAGCATAACTTACCTCCTTAGAAGAGGCTTAAAGCTGGAAAATCTCCAGTTCTGTTAATTAAGTGGTGGCGAAGTTAGAAACAAAAAAGCATGAGGCTCTTGGATATCAGAGTTGTATAAAGAGAACTTAAGCTGCTTATCGTACTTCACAGTATTTAGTGGTCTGTTCCTAGGGGATCAAGTTAAATGTCATTCACCTTTGGTAAATGAGGAGAAAAATGCATTGCTGCTACTAATTGTAGCCTCAAACACAGCTCTGCAATACAAACAAAATACCTTGATTGGAGAGGTGAGGTGAGGGTGCTGTAGAGTCCTTCAGGAACTGTGACACCTCCACCAGTATCTGGGGCAGAGTCTGAGTAAATTATGTTTGGTATCCATTTCACAGTGGTTCCAGTTTATGGAGAGCGTGTTAGTGACATAGGAACTAGTGTGCACTGCGCGGTTCACTTCAGTCTGGGAGGAAGAACTTTGTTGCTGACTGAAGATTTCACTTGCCTTGTTCTTCACATAATCTCTGCCTTATCCTGCTTGGTTGTGCTTGGCTCTTTTCTCTCCACTAGGTGACAAAGCGAGATGAGGATTCCTCCCTGATGCAACTGAAGGAGGAATTTCGGACTTATGAAGCTCTGAGAAGGGAACATGATTCCCAGATAGTTCAAATTGCTATGGAAGCAGGTTTGCGCATTGCACCAGATCAGTGGTCCTCGCTGTTATACGGAGACCAGTCTCACAAATCCCACATGCAGTCTATCATTGACAAGGTAAAGCCACCTAAAATCAGCCCAGTCTATCTCATTTGTGACTGTAGTAGATTTAGATGCTTGTAACATGAATTTACAAATTGTGCCCAGGTGTACTCACCCATTAATCGTTTGCCCTGTTACTTCAAAAACCTTTATGGCCTAAGTAATTGGAATATATATATTTGTAACTTAATGAATCTTGCTCCCTCTGCCATGCTGTCATCTCTTTCTACTTTACCTCTGGAGATGCTGTACAGCTGGGATGTGTCCTTTCTGAACAGCTGATAACTGCCAATGTACTAACAGAGGTTAATGGTTCATGTTTCCAGGCAGGAAGCTAGTGCGTAAGCTGGAAAAAAAAAATGTATCAGTCCTCTAGTCTGCAACACAGAAAAGAAATAGATTACATCATTAGAAATAATACCAGGCTTTGATTTGTCCATTCTGAGCTGTATTTTTAATCTGCAGTGTCAAATAATTGTGTGTTCTTAATGCCAGAGAAGGAATTCAATAGGTGTTGAAATGGGCTTGTGCAAAAAACATTTTAGTCCAGTTTTGGGGGACAGCTCTTGTAAGCTTGTGGAGCAACCTTCAGAAACCAGGAGGATTGCTTTGCCTGTAGAAAGTTAATCATTACAATTTTTTTAAGTTGCAGACCCCAGCCTCGTTTGCACAGAGTGTTCAGGAATTAACTATTGCTCTTCAGAGGACTGGAGATCCAGCTAACCTGAATCGTCTTCGACCTCACCTAGAGCTCCTGGCAAATATTGATCCCAGTCCGGGTAAGTCTAGATGTTTTCTAAAAACCTTTAACTTGCAGTTTAGGAAGAGGAACTTAATACTGTTGAAGGATTGAAAGCTGTTCTTCAATTGGAAGGAAACATCCTCTGACTCATAAACTTAAGATTCTTGAGTGGTATTGATAACCAGCCTGGTCACAGCCATAATCTGTGTGAGGAACTGAACTATTCGAAGCTGAAATAGACTCCAAAGTCTGGCAGGAATAACTTCAGCACTCCTCTGAAGAGAGCATCCTTGTTTGACAGCGCGGTGTGACCGTGGATGAGGATGTGGAATAGAGACAATCTTGTGAGGTTACGTGGTGTGTCCTTCGTATGGGGTGATGCTGACTGGGGGCAGTGGCAGCAGTCAGCTTCCTCTTTTTCCCTTTCTTAGTACACATACTGCTATTTTGAAACCAGGTTTGCAAAGCCAGCAGGGAGATTGGTGGAACCATTGTGCTTAATGCAGAGCCTTAGCTGTCACTTGGAGATATCTTTTTCTCTGCAGTTCTTTACCAGAGCAAATAATTTGTTTACAAACAAGCGGAAGTCTTCAAGAAAACACCAGATTGAGGAGTTCCATTAATTTATCTAAAATCGTATATACTTTGTTGTAGAAACTCTGTGTATTGGTTTTTGTTATGAGGTCTCTAGCCTGCACTCGGAAGACTCTCTTAGAGGCATCTTAAAATCATAAGGCATATTCTGTGTAAACAATTTTGGATTCCAAAGTAGAATTTTGATAGATTGAATAGACAGAAGCTGGGCAAAAATCAGACTAAGCAAGAAAGATTTGTTATCCTAGGGAATTCAGTATTTTTCTGGTCAACATGTAGTTCTGCGAAGGTGTGAAAGACAGTCTGGGAAAGGGAAGTTAGTTGGAAAAAGTATAACTGGGTAAGCTGTTGATAGAGGAGAGAAAGATGGAAATGGTTGAAAACGTCAGCAGCAGTGTGAGGATGGACCACCTGAGGGAGAAGGGAAGGGACAGAATGGAAAGTGCTGTGACTGATTTTTATGTCCCTTAGTATTTGTAAAATCAGTATTATTATCAAAATAGTGTGAAGGCCTATACTATGACTTCAGGAGATGAAAAGTTGTAGTTGTTAGTTTCTGTTTAAATAAATTTGCCTTTCAAATAAGGACTATGTTGTACTTCACAGTTAAAGGAGATGTAGTGCTTTCTTCCTGAATCTTTCGTACTGTAATAAACCAGGGACAGGACTGTGTGTGTACTGCAAATGTGTCGGCCGAAGACAGATACAGAAAGTGGAATCACGAAGAGTCTCACTCAGCTTCACTAGGAGAGTCTGATCTCAACGTCCATCTCCTCTGCTGTTGAGTTGCTTCCCTGCTGTTTTGTAGATATGATGGAGTTCCTCTGGAAGAGTTTAGTCCTTGTGAGCAGAATAGAATGTAGTAGTGCTAAAGATCTTGAAAGGCACTTGGTGAAGCACTGTGAGGTCCTGTGTTTTGCAGCAGAACATGTGGGCACTTCGTGGGGGTGTCATCTGCTGGAACGGATTCAACGCTTGGAAAAATAAATCGGCTGGAAAGAACAAGTGCCCCTCTAGAATTAAGACTGTACAATTTATTCACACTGCTGTATGTTAGATGGTGGTCTGATACATAGATTTGCCTTGTGACATTTTTCCGTGAGAGGTATCGATTTCTGTTGCTGTTCAGTGACTGCCTGCGTGATCTAGGCCAGTGGTGATGGTATTTGTACTGAATGATTTTTACCTGCAGGAGTCTCAATGCAAAGAGGGATTTTCAGCCTGTTGGGTTTTTTGGGTTTTTTTCATTATGTGCAGAGTTTGTGCAATGCATTTACTCTGAAGTTCTTGTGTGATGTGGAAGTTTTGGTAAAAGGAAATAATTTGACCTGCTAATGATAGTCTTGCTGGCTCATTTGGTATTTTGCGTGGTTCAATCTTGAATCTATAGGTAGCTGAGTCTATAGGTAGCTTTATTTAAGTGGTACACATGCCTGATTTAAGGTGCTGAATGCTCTTTATCTATTGACACGTTTCTGATAAAATCTTGTTGGTTGTCTATTGAAGTTTTGTGATAATGATGGTTTCTCTGTGCTTGGTTTTGGAAAATCCTTCTGACTTTTTTTTTCTTCTCTCTGTTTCCTGTAAATGCTGTAGATGCTCCACCTCCGACATGGGAACAACTGGAAAATGGACTAGTTGCTGTGAGGACTGTGGTTCATGGCTTAGTTGATTATATCCAGAATCACAGCAAGAAAGGAACAGATCAGCAACAGGTAAAAGCTAAATCAGTTAGGAAATGCTTTCCTCTAAATTTTATTGGCTGTATCCAATTGTAGAGATGTACTAATGTTGTCTGGAAAGATGTGGTTTGAGGAAGAGCTGGTTAAAAGTGTCCCTGCTGTGTCATATTTATCAAAAAAGAAACAAACAATAAAGGAAGAAACCCAAAACACAACACGCACCCCCCACCCCCAATGCTTGTTGCATTAATTTGCACAGCTCACTAGCATGAAAAGAAAACAGTCTGATCCAGTGGCAAGCTTAGGGTGACGAATAAACAACCCTCCTGACTCACGGGAGGGGAACAGAAGCCAGGGTGCCTAGCACTGTGATCTGTGGGAATTTTCTGGGGTCTGTTTTAATGGGACACGTTTCAGCCAGATGGCTCTGTGTTAATGAAATTATTCTTACACCTGTGCTTCATGGTTTGTGAAGTTTAAAGATTTGGGAAGCACTTAATATAGAGGTGCAATCCAAGTTCCTGAAACAAAGTCTGTTGTTTCAGAAATGAAATTGTATTGCCAAATATATACCTTACTTATCTCATAGTTATCGCATGTTCCTTTGATCTCATTTTGTTGTGCAGCTAAGTTGATACAAATGCTAGCTGCTGCTGAAAGACAGAGCTGCCTGTCACACATTCCCTCTCCCTCCCTTGCTTTGGCACTCATGCTCTTGGAGAGCTGGTTCGGGGAGCTGAACTAGTAGAAATATTTGGGGGGGGGGGGGAATCACAGTTATTTATTTCTGCTGTTTTACCTTTTTGCACTCACTGGGATGCCTAATGAGCCCTGTTAGAAGCAAGAGGAAAAGCAGTAGGAATACACAAGTGGAAATCAGGTGGGATAAACAGTGAGGGCTTTTGTTCTGGTGAGGCCATTGCCTAGACCTGGTACGTGCTGTGCCGCTCAGAATGGAGCCCAAAGCCCCCCGAGTGGGACAGGGGGCATCTACAGAGTGTGGGGCAGAGTGTTGCTGCCTGGGAACTGTGGCCAGCAGAGGGCTGTGCAGCCAGTGTACACCCAGCCTGAATCCTGTCTGTGCTACAGTAGATGGCAAAAAAACCCAAAATTCAGTTTGCAGATGACTTCTTATGGATTTGCATCCTTTGGCTGTGTTTCTCAGAAAGCAAGAGTTTACTTTTATAGACCTCTCCCTCGGTGGAAACTCTGATAGTATATTTCTGCCTCTGATTTAATTCTGCCATAAAAACTGTAGGAACTTAAATGTCTATGAGACCACCTCTGGCCTTCTGTCAGAATTTATTTAATGAGACTAGTGAATGGACATACATGCAGAGGGCAAGATTGCAGTATGTCCTTGTTTCTTGGGAAACTTAACTAAGAAAAATGCAGAAGACAAGCCCTACCCTGTAGGAGTAAGACTGCATCCTCAACTATTGACAGAAATAATTATTGTGGATACTTCAGAGACTTTTAGTCCAAAAGGGGGTAAAAGGGAACTTGATGAAATTTAACTCTTATAGAGATCAAAGGCATACTCAAATCTGTTTTGAGCTAACAGAAGGCAAGGGAAAAGTAACTGAATAAATTGTATTTATTTTCGGTCTCCGACAAAGCTTGATGAATATTTGGTAGTTTCTGCTTAAGCATGGTTGCGGTTTTTTTTTTTTTTAGCCTATATTGGTTTTGTCCACTTAACTGTTTCCTGAAACGTATAGCTGTGTTCCAGTTAAGGTCCAGTAAGGAATTTGAATAAAAATGTTTTAAAAACCTGATAGTGACTTAGTTGTCAAAATAGCTGCTCTTGAATGGGTTAGTTCTGATGAAAAACCCAAATCAAATACTGCTCCAGTCGTTTATTTCACATTAGGTACTTCTGGAACATTTAAACTGAAGGAATTATCACCAGTAAAACATCAGGCCCTTAATAAGAGGATACGTTCAGCTCTTGGCTAAGTGCACTTACATTCGGGTCTCTCACCGGGGTGTTTTTATCCTTGTCAGCCTCCTCAGCACAGCAAGTACAAGACATACATGTGCCGAGACATGAAACAGAGAGGAGGATGCCCCCGAGGGGCCAGCTGCACCTTTGCACATTCACAGGAGGAGCTGGAAAAGTAAGTGCACTTCTTACGGTAGAAGTCAGTCCAATCTTTGTTTCGTCTTGTCCGTAGGAATTTATCATAGCTGGGAATGGGGAGAGGAGGCAAAACGTGTCTGTCACATTAGCAAGAAATAATGTGAAAAACTTGTAACAGTCATCTCTTGGAACTGTTTGTTCTTAAATACAGGGTGCTTTGCTTTGGTCAGCAGTAATGCAGCTCTGAAAGGTTGATGTTTACACAAGTGTCATTTTGGAGGTGGGCTGTTTTTCTTATTAAGTGTGACTAAACGTGCTGTTTGACTGCATCCGTTGTGGTCATTTGTTGGTGTAGGGGATGTGATGTAGGGGTTCTCCTCTTCTTCTGTGCTGCTAGGGCTATCCAGAGAGCTAAAAACAGGCATGGGAAGATATCTTTCTTCAAGTTATTCTCTGAAAGTCTGTGACAGATTGCACATGCGGTAACCTAAAAGTGGTTAAAGCTATTGTTGAAGAGTTAAAAGGTGATGATCATATGAAGTCTGCAGTAAATAAGTTATGTTCTTTACAGATTTAGAGGGGACACCCAGTTATGCAAGAACAATCTGCTGCTGTTCTGAAGGTTGTTTTACTTTTTTTTTGAAAGTAAAACGGATTATTGAAGAGTTAAAAGAAATAAATAGAATGTATTTTTTGCAGTATATACTTGTTTCTTGAACTAAAATAGTTCTTTCAAGAAATGGCACTTTTTTAATCAGGAGAAAAACTCCAAAGATTTTGAAATGGTATGCAGTCTTTATTTTTTTTTTTCTTAAAAACTTAAAACTTGAAGCATTAATATGGCAGTTCATCTGCTGTGTAGCCAGCTTACAGTGCATAGGCAACAGAGGAAGAAAAAAGAGCAGAGTGGTGTTAGAATGACAAAGGCAGTTATTCAAATGAACAGAGAATAGGACATTGATACTTGTGTGCTGCAGAAACAATTGGGGGTTTTGCCCTTTGGTTGTGGTGTTAAGAAAATGGAGATTGGTAGTGCTGGTTTGGGCAGTTGACAAAGGTGGTGAGTCTGAGTCAGTGCCTCTGAACTAGTTGTAAGGATCAAGAAGAACTGTTTGTCAGCTTTGCAGGTGGAAGAGGCCTGTTCTATCCAGACTGGGTTGTATGCCTTAGTAATAACGTTGTCGCGGGGTGAAGTGAGTGCTTGTTCTGGTTCAGGTTGCAGCAGTTTCTGTAGGTGGTTGGGGAACTTTGAGTTCTGATTCTTCCTTGTACCTTTTATATTTGCTTATTCCGTTGAGTAGATATTGCAGTAGTATTCTTCCTTTTAAAAATGTTTAGGATTAATAATATGCATTACTGTTGCTATGTAGTTCCTGTGTCTCATATATAGCTTTAAGTTTGCCGGAAGGTTATGGGGAAGTATGTGATAATGCCTTAGGTGGCAAATTATAATGCAGACTTGCTTAAACAGCAGCTGATTCCCCTCTTTGCAAGGGACAAAGACCCAATATGCATAGGGAAATATTAGATTATTTTTGTGTCCTGCACGTATGGAAAAAAATCCAGAGGGCAGCACTGTGCAACTTCTGTTCTTTCCAGGTATTTTGTCGTGGAGGGTGCTATATAGACTCTTCTGTCACCATTGACATGGGTGTCTATACACATGACTGAATGGGTGTCTATACACATGCGCCTGTCTCCGAGCGTGCTGTTGTATTCTGCATGAGTGGGCAGGGATGGCCAGTCCTCCTCATCTTGCAAGTTATGTGCAAGCCTGCAGAGAGTCAGGAGCCATCAGATGGCTGCACCTCTAAGAGACCGGATGGGAGGCAGGTGTCCAGAAGTAACGGCCGAGGAGAACATGGCAGTTGTTTCCCAACCTCCCACTGCCCCTTTGCAGGGAGAAACTGTTTGGGGTATTGAGCGGGATGCCAAAGCACATCCGCAAGTTCAGCCTGGGGAGCTTACTTCTGCTCACCTCCTGGTGTCCAGCTGACTTGCGTGGCTGACATGAGATGCCAGAATGACTTCTGAGCAGCACATGTTTAGAAAGCTGTAGTCTGTCCCTGCTCGAGTGCTGCTACTGTGGTGACAGCCTGGTTTGTTTACTCCCTGTTAATGCATTCTGAATGATGCCCACTGTCAACAGTATGTAGCTTGGATTTATAGTTTGTATTATGTGGATGAAGATTAATCCAGCCAGGAAACTGGGGTGTTGATAGTTAGGAAGGTGGCTAGAAGATTGTCAACGAACTCTTATTGATGAACAGCTCAAATCTGTATAGCAAGGTTACACTTTGTCCAACTCTACTCAGTCACACCTAAAAAATAAAACAACCACAACAACAAACAACCTTTTTGCCTCTGTTGCATTGCTGTTAATGCTGTGCATGTGGGCGAACGCAAAGATTATCTGAAGACTATCAGAGTGTAACTGCCCCCTCTTTAATTTTCTACAATAGTGTGTGTAACTTCCTAGTCTGTTACCATCTCACTTTGCTTATTAGATATGATACGAAAATGTTGGCTTCAGCCCTGTTGAAACCCTCTTGCATAGGAAAAGGCCTCTTGTTCCGCAGTATAAACAGCAGGAACACTCAGGCCTGCAAATATGCCCTCCCACTTGATTTCTAGCATCTAAGTTGATGGGAGGATGTTTAGCGGAAGAGTACTGTCAGTCTGCTGATTTTTGTGGAACCTTAGTTAAAAGGCTGATGTTTGTTAAGACTTTTCAGAAACAGTTAGGCTTTTGGAATTACAGTGTATTCATAGATACACTGCAGTCAATTTATCAAACAACGCAAATGGTGTAAGCTGCATATTGGTATATTAACAGGAATCTTAAACAGTGCTTTAAAGATACCACATGGCAGTAAAGGCTTGACTTAGCTTACTGTTGAACAAACGGCGCAAAAGGGAATCTCTTCATCTTTTGTCACTTTAATTTTCTGCTGTTAATTTCTTCTCTGAATAAAATAGACTTGAAGAGTCTGTGATTCTCCTTCTGAAGCTTCTGTTGCTATTATATATTAGTATATACCACCTATACTATAGGTGGTATTTTATGTGGTGGTTGGTTTTGACTTTCTTTTGTACAGTTGAAATGCATATATGTACAGTAAATAGGATTTTTTTTCTTAAAGTTGCTGTGTGAAGTTTACTGTGAATTCTTGGTGTACTTGTCATTAAAAATCCATCCTTGTTCTTCTGATTGAAACTGCAATTAACGGTTGAAACAGAAGTGAAGTTGTTGTCTAACATATTTGTAACAAATTTCTCACAAACCCTTAGGAAATTTGAATTCGACCTTAAAGGTTTTGGTAACATCTGTGTTTGAAAAATCTTGTAAATGCAATTCCTTTTATTTCTTTGTTTCAATTTTTGATGTGTGGTTTCTTTTTCTGAAGATTCCGTAAAATGAACAAGCGTCTGGTTCCCAGAAGACCCTTGAGTGCATCCCTGGGCCAGCTGAATGAGGTGGGCCTGCCTTCAGGAGCCATCCTCTCGGAGGAAGGGGGAGTGGACTTGCCCAGTAGGAAGACTTCTGCTCTGCCAAATGGAATCGTGTCAACAGGCAGCACGGTGACGCAGCTTATTTCTCGAGGGACTGACTCCAGTTACGAAACTGCTCTGAAGCCAGGGAAGATGGATCATCTGAGTAGCAGTGCCCCTGGATCTCCTCCTGACTTGTACGGGTCTTCCTAACTCTGTTCAAAGTGTCGTGTGTGTAAATACACAGCAGAAACAAAATAAACCAATTCTCTATAAAAGAAATAGAACAGGTTTTGGGGGTTTTGTGTTTGTTTTTTTAAGTGACTAAAGAGTAGAGTAGAAACCTAAAGCTAAAACTCTGAACTGCTTTACTTCCCTGTTTTCTTATATTTTAATTGGAGAAGGTGATGCGAGCCTTCACAACGTGGAATATAGACACAGAATAATGTGTTTAAGTACAGTGTGCTATATCGAGCCTTAATGAGCAGTGTCATCTTTCTACCTTTTAGGCTGGAATCTGCTCCCAAGAGCTCTATTTCTGCCTTACCAGTGAGTCCTCATCCTGTACCCACTCGGGCACCAGCAGATCTGCCTTCAGTGTCTGTCACCAAGCAGCTGCAGATGGTACCACGAGGGTCTCAGCTGTACAATACTCAGCAAGCAGATATGTTTTATCAAGACCCTAGAGGAGCTGCCCCACCATTTGAGCCAGCACCCTACCAGCAAGGTAAGTTTGAGACCAAACTCTCTCTGTTTCATCTTTATACTGATTTTATTCTTTCTTCTCGCTCTGGTGTTTACTTAAGCACTTAAGTCAGAGTTTTTGTACGTATCGCATGGAATGTAGGCACTAACGTGGTGATGGCACGGTCAAATGGAAGTTGGCAGGCTTGTTGTGTCTCAACTGAGGACTTTAATGCAAGTGAAAACAGAGGTTTGTATCCATCCAGTGTAGCAAATCCTTCTTTCTTCAGTTCTTCCAAACTGGGCTAGATCAGAGATCTAATGTGGTAAACCTTAATTCAGTTTGACTCAGGGGGGAAATGGAAATAAAGTTTAACGAGCAGAGGGGTTTATGCTTGGGAGGTGAAAGTACTGAAGTCCTTAATGAAAAGTGTGTGTGTGTTTCAGAAATGTCTGCGTATGCATGTGATTGTTAGAGACAAGTGAAGTCAGAGAAGGGTGGGGAACAAAAAAGAAAACATCATAAAAAAGGAGCTAAGAGGAAGAGTTATAAATATAAAGAGACCAAATGGAGAAAGATAGTATTGAAGGAAATGAAAAAGAAAACATATGGCTATATATAAAGAGAGGGAATGATTCTTATGTAACATAAGATTGGAGAGAGAAGTGACATAAAGTGAAGTTAATGTGAAAGAAAAATAAGGAATGAAAGACAAAAAGAAGTGGAAAGAAGAAGAAAAAGCCCTAGAAGGGAAAGGGGGGTTGGAAGCAACACCATTTTTTAGAAAGTTGCAGAGCATTTTGAAGGGGGGTGAGGGGTAAGCTTACATTTTATTATTGTGTGCAGACGAAGATCTGTGTTGTCCACAAAATTTGCTGTGCACATATTCATACATATTTTTAAACTATGCAGAGATCCCAAATAGATTACTGAAATCTTCTGGTAACTAGGAGATGTGGTCTTAGAAGTCTTTGGTGATTCACAGTACTGAAATTTCCCTCTACTGTTCAAGAGGTAGAACAAATCTTTAGATAGCGTTAAATTCCAGTTAATGCAAATTTCTTCACACAGACAGTGGCTCTGATACGTTGGGACAAATTTAATTTTAGTTGTGTGGATAAAGATGTACAGGCTAGTCTTCAGCTTGCTTTTTAGGTCTTGTCTAGCTAAAAGCATTCATAGTAATCTGCAGAGATGTTCTAGTGAATGATTTCTACTTGGTATGCTGGCAGGACTTCTGTGGCACCTGTGGTGGGGTTAGTCTCACCACCTCTTCTCCAGCTGCTGTAACCTTTACACCTTGCTGGTATCTTACTTAGATAATTAAACAGTGTCACTTGATCTTTGGAATAACATTTGCTCTTTCAAGGTTTTCTGTGTTAATTTTTCAATAGAGATACTGGCTAGACAATGGGGGCAAACAATAAATGTGAATTAGTTTATACCATTCTTTTCATGACACTTGTAGACTGGAGTATTTGGAACAATTCATTTTTGTGAACGGTTGTGCTAATCACTTTCTGTATTTTGTTTGTGTGTTTTCCTCTTGCCTATTTCAGGAGTTTACTATTCCACTCAGTCCATGTCTCGCTTTGTCCGACCTCCTCCATCAGCTCCTGAACCTGGTCCGCCTTATTTAGACCATTACCCACCCTACCTTCAGGACCGTGTGGTGAGCCCACAGTACACACAGCCGCAGCAGTATCCTCCCATGGGACAACCCATATACCCGCCGCACTACGACACCCGTCGTGTCTATCCCCCTGTCCAGCCGTATCAGCGAGAGGAGATTGTCCGAGGAAGCCCTGTGCCCATCGAAATTCCGCAGGCAGCTGTACCTTCTTACGTACCTGAATCCAGAGACAGATACCAGCAAACAGAGGGTTATTGCCCGGTGGCTCCACACCTCAGTCAGATCCGACCTTCATGCCACAGGGTATGGGTTTTATGTTGCATTTTTGCAGTAAGGTGATGGGTTTGGGGAGGAATTAGAAGTTTGAATTTGTAAGAAGGGGCACACTTGACGAAGCCAATAAAAAACTGGAAGGCAGTTTAGTTACTGGTCAGCTCTGCAATTGTAATGATGTTAATGTGTAAAAAAGCAGGCTGCTGCTTAGTGCTTGAAGTAGAAAAGTGTTGTAATTAATTTTGGAAGTCTTGTATGGCCCTGACTTCAACAAAGATTAGGCTGGAGAGGGCCACTCTCTAATGCAGATTAAACAGGCATGTGCAAATGGTCGTGTATGCATCCTTGTACTGCCCATCTGTGACTGACCATCTCTGTGCCTAAATAAAAAATTTGCAAACATACTTCCCTTGGTAAAAGAAGTAAAAATTCTGCTCTTCCCAGTTTTCTCTACTTCAAGATTGCTAACTGGAAGGTCTTCCTAACAGAGGTGTACAAACTTGTTTTGGTAACTCACCAGCTGGGCTTGAGCCCTGTAGGATAGTTGGACTTACGTAGCTGTCGTTCAGATAAAAGGCTCTGAATCATATTGCTGAGTCCAGGAAGCATTTTTAATGCAGCTGGTAGATTTATCAGGTTTGAGTTTGACACATTTGTGGGACATTTCATTCTGTTACAAAATGAGTAATACAAAAACCCTCGTAACCCTAACCCTGTGTCTAGGTTATGATCTGTAGAGTTCTGCTAATTTCCCCCATATGATTGTAATGGGGGCTTGCCATACTGGAACATGTTCCAGTGGAAGTTTTGCCAAGTTGGAACACAGAGGCATGTTGAGCTACCTATGAGTTCAAAGATTAGTACTTTCAAAGGTAGAAACACTGGGTTAGTTGAGGATCTAATCAGTTTTAGGCAAATAATGTTTCCCTGCCTTTGGGGTGCTTGAATGAACGCTTTGGCCAGTGTAGGAACACGTATGTTCTATATTAAACATGAAAGTTAACAGATAGACTGTAACAAAGTGATCATTACTTAGTCATGTAATCATACTGTCTATTCACTGTATTTTCCTTTTATGACAGTATATGGTTGCCATATTTTGTTTGGATAAACAAAATTTTTGAAATTACTAGTTTTGTGCATTAATGCTTCAGAACCTTTGTAATGTATTTCTGTCTTCATTTCAGCCTCATCCCAGCCTGGATGAACTTCACCGACGAAGAAAAGAGATCATGGCCCAGCTAGAAGAGAGGAAGGTGATTTCTCCACCTCCTTTTGCACCGTCACCAACCTTGCCTCATCCTTTTCATTCAGAGGAGGTAAGCATATTTTGACAAAAATGTGACTTACTAGCATGTTTAGAAAATACCCTGGAGTTTGAGTGTGCTGATAGGTGAAGACAACAAGAAAATTAGACCAGTACAGTGCTGGCGGGTGATGGGTGGTGGTGGCGGGTGGTGTCAATTTTATGCTCCAGATGGGAAGTGTTTGTAGTACAGTCTCCAGTCTCTCAATTGGCTGTTGATTCTCTGATCTACCACTGATCCCAAGCTATCTGCTTTTGGTGCAACTGAGATAAGTAGTTTTGAGCCATTATTAATTGAAGTGGTCAGTCTTCACGATAACTGAACTTCACTTCATTTGCTCCTGATATGTTTGGAATTAAGTAACAGCTTGATAGAGGCTTGTTTTTTTAACCAAGGTCAAAGTATCGCTTTCATACTGGCGGAGTGAACAGTCAGGAATGCTGGGAATGTAGCCAGGTGATCGGAATTTCACACATTTCATGCTTGTGTGGCCCAGTTCCAAATAGTGATGTATCTGATAAAAAATAATCCTGGTGGTGTTTTTCTTCAAATTCACTGTTGTCGAACCTAGGTAGTGATGGCTGTGAAGCTGCTTCTTCCCTTCACTTACAGAACCAGATTTTTGTTTTTGTACAGTACTTGGATGAAGACTTGAAGGTAGCTGGGAAATACAAAGGAAATGACTACAGCCAGTACTCTCCCTGGTCCTGTGACACCATCGGCTCCTACATTGGAACCAAAGATGCAAAACCCAAAGACGTTGTGGCAGCAAGGAGTGTGGAGATGGCGGTACGTAGGGATTAGGGGAACGCAGAAGAAAAGTTGGGGCTGGGAGGGACTCTTTCATTTTCTTTCTGGGATGATGGCAGTGCTTGTGTTTAAGCTCAAAAGTGCATTGCAGTCAAAGAATGCATTTGAAAGTGCGTGGAGTGCTTTTTTTTTCAAAGTTATGTACAGTCCTACGTGTGTAGCTGGTTTAAAATTCTGGATGTAGATGCGGGCTAACCACTCTGCTCTAAAGCCATGGATAGGAAAAGTTATTTTGCCATGATTCTTTACACTTAACTTGAAATTCAAAAATTACTCTGTACTGGCAGCTAGTTAATTAAACATGCCTATCTGTTGCTTCCTGTATTTCTTTCTGTCAGAGGGGCATGCTGTAATTTAACTTTGTGCTATTAATTCCTTTTATGGGGATTGTGACTGCTGTTAACAATGTTACTAGTTTTTGCTTGAAGAACTTTTTGTGATTTGTGACCACAAGAACACCCAGAACATGCATGAAACCTTTGAGAGAAGCGTAGTCATAACACAATACTAGGCGGATTCTTCTTGAGGGCGGTTTCTAACTCCATGCTGTGCTTATTCAGTCCTTCACTGAAGCTGTGGTTGTCTGACTGCAATGTTATTTGATGCTGCTGCATTTTTGCCAGGTCAGCCTTGCAAAATGAAGGGGTTGCTAGGTTGTCATTATTGGGAGTCATGAATGTAGAAGAAAAGAAATAAGATTCTGAAATACCACCACTGTTCTATTTCTTTCTAATGTTTAAGCATCACTCAACAGCAAGAAATATGTTGGTAGCCTGTGCAAGTAGGAGGACATTCAAGTATTCAAGAGAAATGTCTTTTTAGTCTGAGGGACTATTTTACAGAGATGCATCTGTGTTTTCTCCTTCACCTCCCAAATGGAAAAGTGTTCTACCATCTTTTGTTTATATATTGTCACTGTCATGGTGACCTTTGGCCAAAAAGGGGAGGGGGAAGAAGTTTCTATCCAGAACTTATTCTCCGGTGGACCCGTGCTCCCCTGTTGTGACCACTTAACTAAAGAATAGGATTTTTCTATCCCACTTCTCCTCTTTGCCCACAAGCAGGCTTCCCAGTTTCCCCTCTGGGAATTAAATGCATCTGGTTTCTGTGCACTGACTTGCTTTCCTGTAAGACCTTGAAGGCACTGTGCAAAATGAGAGCAAAAAAGGAGGCTTTCTCCCAGAAAAAGCAGAGCAAGAAAAGGCGTTTCAGCTGGAGCTTTGGGTTTGCTACATGTCGTTTTGATCTCTGTCCTACACAGTGTGTTTGCTTTGAGTCCTAACGCTGTCATGTTTGACCTGGGGAAGTACGGAGATTACTCAGAATCAGTTTATTGCTGTCCAGGTGGCTGTGTTCAGGAACCAGCAAACAGCTCGTCTTTCATCCCTGCTGCGAGAACACTGTGCAAACAAACTGGAACTCAATTAAGAGAGGTGATAGAGTTCTGGAGAAGCAGTCTCCTTTTTTATTGCTAAACAAAGTGTTCTCCTGCCCCAGAGCTAATTTTCAGATAAGCAAATAGGATCTCTGCTGCTCTTCAGTTTTAGTCTCCTCACACAAAAAATTTCTCAGGAGACCTTCGCTGTAGATGGCAAGTCAATGAAGTCTTCGTTTTTTTATTGTTCATAAAAGATTCCTTCTTTCAGGGAGAAGAATAGTGTCATCTGAGAGTGCGTAATGCTGGATTTTATGCAGATAGCATTGCAACTTTACTATTTTCTTTTCCCCCCACTCAGTAAATGGAAATAAAATAGGTACTAGTGTCCTACAGACTCAAGATTAAAACATCTTTTTTTTTCAGAATTCCGAAGCAGATGCTGTCTAATGCCTCTTCCAGTTTCAACATGTTACATTTCTTGAGTTTAGCTTCTAACTCAGTTGTGACTTTTTAGGCTTTAGCCGGTCCTCTTTGTGTAGTAGTGCCACTTACCTTGGGTTTTTTTGCTGTACACAGCACTGTGCTACAGTTTTACCAGTTTTATTTCTTTCAGCAAAGTCAAAACTTTGATTTTTGGCAATTCATACCATGTTACGTTTTCTGGCAGCCAGCAGATAGCTTTCCCATTTAATTAAGCACTTTTCCGATTTTCTTTTTAATTGAGCCTGTTTATTTCTGTTCCTCTTTTGTGTAATCACTGTGTGGTGATTATTCAGGGGGTGGTATTTTTTTGTTTTGTTCCTTTCATGTTGAGGAAGCTTTTTAAAAATTTGGTTTTATTCATGGAAAAAACCGACTGACTTTGTTTTTAAGTTACTCCAGGTGACTTCTCCCGTAACTGGCCTAACTATATCAGGAAAATCTTTGTAAAAAATCTTTATCATAATCTGTTGTTTGTTCTTGTAAGTTAAGTCGAATTGACATATCCTGCTAAATCGAGCTTGTTTTCTGAGCACGTCTTTTGCTTTGTGACTGCTTGGCAATGTTCTGTCAGCAGAGAGAGAACAATTTATCTGTTCATTTGCTGACCCAGTGAGGTGTTTGAGTCTGAAGCTGAGTTCAAAACCAAGATGTTCCAAGCAGTACTACTGCTTAATGAAAAAGTGCCTGAAAAGATGTTTGACAAGCTTGGGTCAGCTGTCCTGGCTGTGTTGCCTCCCAGCTTCTTAGGAAAGATTAACCCTATCCCAGCCAAACCCAGGACAACTAGACCTGTCCAAGTAAGCACTGTGCTGAATAATTCCGATTTTGAGTCATCTGCAGCCTGTTACATGATACAGTTCTTAATACTGGGCTTCAGAGAAATTCCTTCTGGACTTTGAAAGGAGTATGTATTCCTCAGAGATGCTCTCTGATCTCCTCTGTGACTTTATTCTGGAGAGTTTTTTGTTCCCTTCCGTCCCATGAGTCTTTCTTGGTCTTACTTTTCCTGTTGCTGCTGTTTCCTTCCCTTGGACTTGTTCGCAATTAATCATGCAACAGTTTCGGTGGTGGTAGTAATGGCTGTCTTAAGTTAGACCACTAAAGAGACATCAACTCTGACAGAGGAGTTATAAACTGTAAAATAGGAGAATTAGTTGAAGGATGAAGGGAATAGAGAATACAAGAGACATTTACTATCTTGTTACCAGCTTGTTGTAAAAGTAATGTGGTTTTGTTCATTTCTGGATAAGTTTTTGACTGCCTTTTCCACATCTTGTCTAGAATGTAGATAGTAAAGCCATGCGTGACCAGCGATTAGACATGCAGCGAAGAGCCGCAGAGACTGGTGATGATGACCTCATTCCATTTGGAGACCGACCAACTGTGTCGAGATTTGGGGCTATCTCTCGTACTTCCAAAGCGATGTACCAGAATTCTGGTCCCATGCAGGCCATGGCGGTTCAGGGAGCTACCACCAAATCAATCATTTCAGGTACCATGTGTGCTGGTGGATTTTGCTGGCTGTTGCTATTTTCTGTAGTGCTACAGTGTAGTACAAGTTGAAGACAGTCCCTGTAAACTTGTTTCTTGTCTTTGAAATGAGATGTATGTTATGTCACTAAAAATAACTCTAGGTAGGACTGCACTGAGAAGGCTGAAAAAGGCTGCCACTAATTCCTGTTCCACTGACAGATTTGTGCACACAGAGTGTATGCGTTGGGGATTTGTTGTTGCTGTTTAGAAAAAGTTACTTTGTTCTGCTGATCCTTCTGAGATGAGATTTCTTTTATATCTGTTGTAGTAGGATCTAGAAACTTACTGCCTTCTCAAATATATATAATGCAAAACCATCATAATGGAGTACTGTACTGCGCTCCTATTTTATGGGTAGTTGCTGCTGCAAGCTTAATGAGGTGGTCTCTTTCCTGAGGTGCACTGAATAATCTTAAGAAAACACTAAATTATATTCCCCCAAAATTCACTCTAGATCTTTTTCATGAGTTAACTGCTGGAAACAAAACCAAAAACTCACTTGCTTAATTCGAGCAGTAACTTTCTAGACTTTATCACAGGTAGAACTCTGGCTTCCCTGAAAGCTTAACCTTCAAGCTGGTGTTAACTAGGTGTCTCAGAATTATCAGGCAACTCTCGAGTCTTTTAGGAACTTAATAAAAATAATTGCTGTCATAGTGGCTGTAAGTTTGTTTTTGAGTTGCTGTCCCCTGAGTGTCTGAAGTCCTTCACAAACTCAGGCTGTGGAAGGCTGTAGCAAACGTTGTTGGGCGTGTGGGCAGTCATTCATTAGGCACCTGAGGCTGGCCACATGTAGTGGTTTTGCATTGATTTCAGCAGAAGAAACGTTAGACTGCCTCACTCTTAGAGGCCTTCCTGCTTATTTGCTAATTCCTGTCCAGTTCTGTGTGTTGGCTGAATTACTTCCAGGATAGTTTTGTAGTAATGCGACACGGATTTCTTTCTGTTCACTGGCAGACTACAATCCTTATGGAACTCACGGTGGCTGGGGAGGCTCTCCATATTCTCCTCATCAAAATATACCTTCTCAGGGACGTTTCAATGACAGGTAGGATTGCTTTATTTTGCCTTTGCCTTTTTCTATTTTATCTATTTCTTTCTGTGCCAGCTGAGTGAAGCTTTTTTTGGAAATGGCCTTATTTTTGCTTTTCTGATCCCACAGGGAGAGACTGTCCATGTCAGATGTGGCTGGTCATGGGAAACAGTTGCCTTCAGCTGAACGAGAGCAGCAGCTGCGCCTGGAGCTGCAGCAAGTAGAGTGAAGGGTGGGATGGAGAGAGATGAAGCTAGTAAAGCTGCTTTTCGTGTGTTGATTATCTTTCTCTGTAATGACGTTCAGTAACAATTCTGTGATGGCATCAGGATTATAGTACAAGTGTAAACCTCTCTGCTGAGCCGCAGAAACTTACCTGCACTTTACGTGCAAATCAACACCACGCTCAAACCTGCACTTTGTGCTTATTCATGTTAGCTTTCATGCTCTCTCACTTACTGCCCCTTTCTGTTCATGTCTTAACTCAGAGGCAAACTTGCGGTGTAGATACCTGTTTCTCTTGGCTTTACTGCCACTGAAAATGTCTGGGTTTATGTACAGAAAGCTATGACATTCATCTGTTCCGTGTTTGGCTTTGTGTTGTACCTGTTTCTTTCAAAATAGTGCAAGCCACAGGAGTCAAGAAAATTAATGTTAAGGACATTTAGCTTGAAAAATTAAAGTTTAGTATTTTATGTCTCCGTGCTTCGAAGAAATGTAGTTACTTGCAACCTGAGGGAAGATGGGAGTCTGCATCTGTGAAAGAATTCATGAGCCGAAATACTTGTTTGTATTTTGAGACACAGAAGGAGAAATGTCAAGGCATAATGAAAGAATTGTTTTAGCAAAGCTTTAGTTACTTTGGTTTTTTCCTCCTGGGAAAAATCAGTAAATATTTACCAGAAAACTACTCTAGGTACCTCAGCAACTATTCATGTTAATGTTTTCCCAGAAGGAATTACTCTAGTAGTGGACCACAGCTTCTGCTGAATCTATGGTTACCTAAGAATAGGTGTTGCAGAGGGGGGTTATTGCAGAGTAGTTGTAAGAGCTCACAGTTTTTAAGCCTCAGCAGCGGTAACAAGTAGTATGCATTTCTCAGTTCCTTGAAACATAACTTGCGTTCTTGTGCTTTTATTTGGGAACAAGAGGAGAAAATGTAAATCTTGCACATCTGCCTTTCCCGTAGTAGAAGAGTATTGGAAAGTTGCAAAACCGGAGTGGCCTGCCTCTCCTCCTCATTATTATTGTCATTGTGTTAGCGTTAAATCCTATGTAGTTGAGTTTTGAGCCTTGATTTTACCATTGTCTGAATTTGTCAGAACTCATCGGTTGTTTTGAGTAATAACTCAAGTTTTCAATTCATCTTTTGTGTTCAGAGCTGCAAGTAGATACTTGCAATCAAGGAAGCTTTGTTAATTTACCTGTTACAAGGCTGTCGCAGTCGCTTAATTCAGTCTGAACATGAAGAACTAGATTGTTTTGCTTCCTTCTCAAATGAATGAGCATTTCTACGTGTAGGCCAGCCAGATGTTCAGTTGTGTGGCATAGTAGATAGTGTGTTTAAATTGAGCACACACTTACGGAAGTGATTCCCAAGTGTTAGCAGGCTTTTGGAGTGGCTGATATGGTTACTACTTTTTACTTGGCTGCTGGTAACATGCGACTTCTGAATGACTGTAGTCACTTTGCTCCGCTCTGTTCCTGTGATTCCTAATCTGGAGAGAGCTACATAGTTAGATGACATAGTAATAACACTGGCTCTGCTGTAGGATTTGGTAAACTGTCCTACTGTAAAATAAAGCTGCAGGTTTGTTTATCTCCTGTTACCTTTTGTTCAACAAATAGCTCACAAAAGAGAGTAGTGTTTTGGTTCATGTGCTTAATCTTAGTTTTGAGAAAGGAGCAGTATGTGGGGAAAGTCTGGGCAAATTTATTACAGTAAAAAGTCCATATCACTGCTTGTTTAAAGGTGAAAAGACTTTCCTGCATGTAAAAAATGTTTAAACCTGCGTTGGAAGTGATTTTGATTGGAATCTTGTTAAGGATGGAGAGAAGGCGGCCTTGGTTTTGCAAATAAGCAATACTCTAGATAGGGCCTAGAGCTCTTTCTGTGCTTGGTGTGTTGTGTGCTCAGTTGTGTATGTGCTTGGCTTTATGCATTTAGGCTGTTAGTAACAGGCTGCTGTTGCAGAGGGGGGCGACTACCCTGGCAGGCCAACCACAGCCCCCACCCCCACCTCCCAAGTGGCCTGGGATGATCTCAAGTGAACAGCTGAGCTTGGAGCTACACCAGGTGGAAAGGGAAATTGGGAAGAGAACCCGGGAGCTGAGCATGGTGAGTGCCGCGGGGGTGGGAGGCAGAGAGGTGGAGCGGAGAGCTGTGTAGCTGGCTGCAGCCCTTTCACCCTGTCAACAAATGCTCTCTGCCGGATGACCCCAGCTGGAGTCATCCGTCCCCTCTTCACCTCTTTATTCTTCAAAAACTCCTGAGAATTTTTCTGGTGGTTCTTTGTGAAGAATTTGAGTTCTGCCCACTTTAAAAATACTCTGCTGTTGTTGCCATTTGAAAAGAAGCGTGGCACTGAATTTGTTGCAAGCTATGAATCGTCTCCAAGATGACTGTGCCATGAGTTGTATAAACTGCTTTGACACAGAAAACATCATCTGCAGGTACAGGCTGGCATTCAGAAGTCTGTGTGCTGTTACAGTCTATGGTCTTTGCTTGTTGTTACAAGAATCATCCCTTCCTTTCAGGAAATGCTGTGTCCTGAGAGACGAGCAGATCTTACTGAGTCTGTTTTCTTGTCTCATGGCTTTTGTGGGTTACACTGTATGACTCCAATTTACAGGCCTTCATCATTGGTCCCAAAGGATGAAGTCTCACATTCTTTTAATGCAATGTTAAATAATTTTTCTTCTGTCTCTTTTTTTTTTAAAGGAGAGCCAGTCTTCACTGGATATAAAAAACAAACTGGGCACCACTAAACAGACAGAAAATGGACAATTAGAACCGCAAAGCAAGGTTCCAGCTGAGGACCTCGCACTGACGTTCAGGTAACATGGGTCTTCAACCTTTCCTTGTGTGACAGGAGCATGACTTAATCAGGGTCACGCTCTGGTATATGAGTAATAACCCCGTGCCTCACATTGTCTCTGATGTGGAAGCATCCACTAGGAAACAGTTATGCGAATCAAGTTTTTATAGCGCAAGCATGAATTAAGGGCCACTTCAGCTGATGAGTAGGTGAGTGGAATGAGACTGTGTATCAGTTAACGGAACAGAAGAATTGCAGTGTTTGTAAGACCAGAAGTCGATCTAGTCAATATTGGATGATTAGTTGGGAGGAGCAGGAGATAAACAATGACCATACAAGAAATCTTCATCTACCAGTTTAGTTTCAAAGAGAAGAAATGCTCCAAATGTGAGAGGAAAGTTATTCCATCCTGCTAAGGTTTCTGATGTGGATGTTGTCTAGGAAGGTATGTAACTTTGAAACAAAGTTCACTTCTGTTGGTAAGCAGTAATTTTTATCTGTGTAGATGCTGGGATTGATTTAAACTCCCTTTTGATAGTCAATTGAAATAAGATGTTGGCTGGGAATGCTGGAAATCTACACGGCAACCATGTTCAGGTGGCTGCAAGCATCTGTATGTATTCAGACTAATACTTTGAACAGAAAAGCCCAAATTCTGCAGATGTTTCACTAAATCAAGTTTGCATAACTTTGTGTGAGCAGTTTAGAATCTGGATATTTATTCAGAAAGTGAATTTATTTAGAAAATATATCTCCCTCAATTGCTTATGAAGTCCTATAACCAGTCTATGAGTTCTGGGCTGCACCAGTAGGTTGAGGCCTCTGGAGCCGAAACCCGTTTTCCCTTACGAAATTTTGAAAGTAATGAAATTAAAATAACTATCTGTCTTTTTTTAAATTAAAAAAAAAACAACACACAAAACTAAGACAAATGATCCAGATAAGTTAAATATTCTGGAATGTGTGCATTGTACAGATTGATACGGTGCATCTTGTGGCATATACTGAAGTACTTTGCAAAATACAAGTAATCTAGAACCCTAAAAATATGTAGTCTTGTTTGTTTTCAATTAGCCTTATGTTAGTAGTTCTCATTCTGGTAAGTACCTGCAGCATACCAGACAACCTGTTTTATTATACAAAGCAAGCCTTTACAAGTTTACGTGTGTTCACATCTGTTTATTGAGATGCTGCAGCAACAAATATTGAAGTCCTTTTACTTAAATGAAAAATTGCAGTAATTACCCCCCCCCCTTTCTCCTCAACTTTCTTTCAGCAGTGATGTTCCGAATGGATCAGCCTTGACACAAGAGAACATTGGCCTCCTGTCAAACAAGACGGCATCTCTCAGCCTGTCAGAGGACCCCGAGGGAGCAGGAGACAGCCACGACTCGCAGAGAGCGGGAGTTACGCCTACGTCTGCTCCATGAAGTGAGGCCGACGTACCCCAGAGTTCCTTTTGCTGGGGTGTTGGTGGCTTCCATCGTGTTTTTTTCCAGGGGTGATTGGAGAAACTCAAGAGCAACAGCAGTAGCAGAGCAGCAGGTCCAGAGGCAATGTGCACGAACACAACTACTAGAAACAAATCCTGCACATAGTTCACATTAACGCATTTTTTAATTAAAAAAATAAAAATTAGCAGTATCTGCAAGCAATTCAAATTAAATTTGTTTTTGTTCTGTGAATGAACTTTATTTTAATAACTTTGGACGCCTTGGATCCCAGGGCTTAAAAAATAAGATATTATATATATACTCTGTTTGATTAATTGTATGATCTTAATGAAGTAGGTTTTTTCTTTTATTTTGGTGTTATTACATACCCAGTGCATAATTCCTTCTTACCTTAATTTCTCAACAACTAAAACAACCTGGCCGCTTCCTTGTATGGTTTAAGGGTAAAACAAGGAATGAGGGTTGGAGAGCAGCTGAGAATTGCAGTGTCAAAAGGCGTGCAGCAAACTTCATTCATGAAACAATTACTTCTGTTGTGGCTAGGGACTGACCCCTAGCTTGTGCGTAAATTATTTAAGTTTAAACGAAGTGACAGAATCCTTGCGATGCAACAGGTGGAGTCCTTTGTGTACGTCCCAGCACAGCATGTGGGATAGAGGATAACAAAATAAAATGTCCGTAGTAACATACGTTATCTTATTTGAAGGTTGCTAGCCTTGTATTTTCTCTTGGCGCTGAAGAGGTCAGCAGAATGCAGAGCAGTCTACTCCAGCATGGGCCTTGCTGAAGCTGGTAGAGAGGCTTCGCTGACCGGTGAAGGTTCTGCAGCCATGACCAACGCAGGATCTCTAGAAATAGAAAGTAGAGAGAACGTAAGGTTATGCAGTTGCTGGAAGGATGTTAATGCTGATGAGCTGGTGAACCATGTTAGTTCATCCAGTGTTTGCTGGGGTGTTTTTTCCCCTTCTCACTATGCCTTTGAAACAGGCTTACCCAAAGTCCAGACAATTAAGTTGATGCAGAGAGACTTCTCACCTCTCTGCCTTTTGAAACGGGTCTTTCAGGTATGCCTCCTTCTCAGCAGCTCTTGCCTTTGTTTTTTCTTCATTTTATTATTATTAAAACCAGGATATCCTAACTTGATTTTTTCTTTCTTTTTGTTCAATGATACATCAGTTGTAATGCTGTCGTGAGGGCCTTTTACTGAAGGAGACCAACATCTTTGATTGGTGCGCATCAATTATGGCAATCTTTAACAAACAGAGAGGAGTTTTTCTTTCTTTTTTAAAGGTGGCATTGTTTAATGTCTGTGTATATTAGAATTTGACACCCGAGAATCAATCTGCAGCTTTTCTGCCACTGCTGCAGTGAATCCTTTCTAGATTCTCGTTTCACAGGGGAAAAGTTGCATGAGAATGGCCACTTAAGGTACAGCACGGATCCTATCGGAAGTAGCCAGAAGTGCTGAAAAGCGAATTTTGCTTGATAGATCTAGTGTACTACCTCTCCAAGTAGATGCTTTGTAAGTGTAAGTTGGAGAAACTGTAAGCCCTTTCTAGATGTTTTCTTTAGAAGTTAAAGAAATTAAAGAGATTTTGTTCTTGCTGCACATCTTTTGACTCTTTCAGCATGGACTGGGGTGGGACCCTGTATGCGAAGAACTCTGTGGAGAAGGATTTTAAAGTGCTGCTCCCTCTGCACCTTGTTGGCCTGTTCTCCTGTTTTCTTTCTGGGTTAGACTACTAAATTGGAAAGCACTGGTTATGTAATAAATTACTGCATTGCTTTGGTTGGGTAAAGCAAGAGTTAATAAATTTTCTTGGTTTTTAGTTTTTCCTTAACCTTAACTCCTGCTGAGGTCATAGCAACCTTGGGCTAAGCTTTGCATTCATCATACTGTTAAATAAAACAAAATGGGGGGTGGGAGGGGATACAGTCCCACTATTGCCTACCAGTAGGAGAGTCCAAACAGAAGACTCGTTTGAGTAGCAATTATTTAATTTGCCCAGTCAAGGCACCGCGTTTATATACTATTTCACATTGAATTTGATTATGCCCTACAGACCTGGCTGGTCAAGGATTTGATACACATATTGGCTTGGGATTCGAGCTTTCTTTTTTATTTAAATAAAAATTTATATATAAATATATATATACATATATACATAGCTATATATATATATATATTGGGTATGTTTTAAGAATTTTTTCGCATGAGCGCAGCTGTTGTGATCAAATGTCTGGGAGGTAGAAGCACTGAATGAAAATAAAGGCATTTTTTCAGCGCACACACCCACACTTTCCATATGTCTTCACATGGATTTATTTCGCTCCTAGCTGAACTTTGGCCTCTTAATTGCCAAGAGTAGTTTCGAAGCTTGCTTTTTTTTCTCCTAACCCCTTTTAACTTTTCGCAAAGAATCATCTTTGCACTAGAAGAGCTGCATCTACACCTTGCCCCCATCCATCCATATCTCCTACTATGCCTAGCATTACAGCCGCTCCACTTTGAGCCGAGCAGAGCTAGGCTGATGCAGTTTTGAGCCTGTCAGGTCTGTTCCTCCCTTTCTCTGCTCTGGGCATGGCAATAATTAACGTGTTTCCCTGGCAGCCTGCTCACAAGTCAACTGACCCAGGCACTGTGCCCTGTTCTCCCATCCTTAAGTGCAGAGCACCACTGTCAGGTCAGCCTTCTCCTTGTTGGTTTTATTTAGTTTACTTCTTCCTGCTGTGTCTTCATTAACCCAGGGAGCTCATTTTGGTTGGGTTAAATAGTGCAGTATTCCAATCTAGAAGGACAAGCCCAGAATGTACCTTTTTTTGACTGCAGTAATTCTTTTAGTAAAGTGAATTTTCAAAGATGGTTATGATATGTTTGAATCTACAGATTCATGTACAACACTAACAAGAAAATCTGGAGGGGCAAGATACTTTTTGCCTTTGGTTACTTGTGCCAGCTAGTTTCCTTGCCAGGTTGGGGATTAATTGTTTTCTCCACTTCTGCTCCCAGGAGGATTTCTGCAGTAGATGCTGTTCAGACTGCTGGCCTACATACGGTGAATGCTTCCAAAACCTGTGGATTAGAAGGGAGACCTTACTGTTGGGTTTTTTTCCTCTCCTTTACCCAGCTCTCCATGCTGTACTTTGTGCATAGTGTCCTTGTTGTGATCAGTGCGTCCAGGTGAATGCCCTGTTTGCCCAGCATTATAGTTTGGCTTGTTAAATAGTTTGTTTAATATCTACCAATGGTATTGATTTTTTTTTTGGCTTTGTTTTTTCCCCTCCTCGTCTTGTCCTTTTTCTGCTTTTTTGCAGCAGTTTAGCTGATAAACAGCAAAATGTGGTGCATGCTTCTAAATCTTTCTGGAAGCTGCACCTAAAATTTTCCTTTTTTGTGGAAAAGCACACTAGTAGAACTGGGAGGACAGATAGCTCTACAAATAACGGAACCATTGATGGTTACAGCAGATAACCAGGGAGTACAAATTTCTGGAGCAACTTTCAGGAGTATACTGCTGTATTCATGTCTGTAGCACATCATTGTCCCAGTTGTACAGGAATGCTGTGCACCTCAGTGAAATTGGTCTTAGCTGGAAAGTGGTGTAGTTCCTTCTACCTGGGCGAGAAGTAAGAGTATGGCAATGGTGTTAGGGCACTACTGCATCACTTGGTAGGTAGGTTATATTTTCTACTGCGGTAGACAACTTTGAACCCTCGCTGATACCTGGGTTTGAGCCCTAGCATGGACAAACCCTCCAGAATAGGAAGCTTCGAGTGTCAGGTTAAGCTTCAGTATGTCAAACAGTAACTCAGTCAGTGTAGAAACAATGTTTGTTTATTCTGTAGTGTTGTTTTTCTCCTTCTGTCAACATCTCTTCTTCCTTTCCTGTGACCTAGTTCTCTTTTCTTAACCGGAAAAACTTATGCTTTTTCTTCTGCCCCTCCTGTATTCTATTGTATCCTGTCCCATTTTAGAGTAGGACTTTTCTTATTTAGATCAGAGCACCTTTCAAACTTGCAGCGCTGTTATCTCCTTGCTTCTCAAGCTGTGCTCTGTCTGGTTTCTTCTGAGCCTTATTCCCTCCCTTTTTGCCCATACCTTCCTTCCTTTCCTTCTGTGGCTTGCCCATTCACCCTCCCTGATTGTGTAACAGTGACAGCTTGCTGCCTCAAAACAGAGCATTCAAATGAATTCGCTTAGCCAATAACTTCTGTGAAGTTGCCTTTTCTAATGGTGTTATTACTCAGTGATGCACAAATGTGATATTGCCCCTACTGGTAGGCAAACGGGGGATCTGTATAAACATGGTAAACTGCTGTTTTTCTTTAAAGGAGAGCCAAAGACTTGTGCTTTACATTTTTTTTTTTGTTGTTCCTGGTGTAGCCATTTTGATTGTCAAATCTTTGTGGGGTTTTGTGAGTTGACTGTATTATCCTAATAGCAATTTACGAAAGTTAGTGTTTGTTAAGCCTTATCCATGCATTGAATTGTGGAAAATCATTCAATTGAGTCATACAATTTGCAATGTACTGAGATGTATCTGGAGTATTCTGATGTGTTTTCAGTCTCTCATGCACTCTCTCGGCTGACGGAATGGCTCACTTGGAGAGGGAGGAGGAACACAGAAATCGTACATAATCAAAGAAGCCTTGTCTTTAAGTGTTGAAATCTGAATTGAATACTGGTTTTAAATTTCTTCAGTTACAGTAAAAGATATGTCTGTGTTGCAAATGTGACTGACTTTTAAGCCCTTTGGAACTGAAAAGACTTGTCAAACTGTAGCATTACATTAAATTAGATGTGGAAGAAGCAAACTTGTATGATGATATTGTCTCTTGACAGCACGAATTGAGTAAGGCAGGGCAAATTCTGTATTAGAAAGGGCGAGGAGTGAGGTTTTTCATCGATAATACAAGAAAGCCGCTTGCATTTCCCTTCCTTGATGTAACTTAAACTTGTGCAGGTCATTTGGTTCAGAGAAAATCTGTAAGAGTAGAATAAACCCTCACTTCCATTGCCATTTCCATTTATAAATCTGGACTATAATGAAGCAGACTTATAGGATAGTTATCTGAAGAACCCCAATATAAACTATCTTCGGTTGACTAGCTGTTTCAGACTCACTTTTATGGTCCAAGAGATTCAGTGCTAATAATCAGAAGGTTCAGTGGCAGGAGTGCCAACTTGTCTGTTCTAAAATGAGGGGGAAAAAAAACAGATAAGCAGTGTGCAAGTTCTGTGCTTGTCTCTGTGTGTGTGAAGAAATTGTTGTAGTCCTAGAATAGATAGAAGACACACAGAGCAAGGCTGGGGCTTGGTATTACCTTCATATTC